GGCATGTACCCTGAAGGGGAATCGAATCATAACCTTCTGGTTCATGGGTTGATGTTCAACCACTGAGGCACACTGTCCAGGATGTCCATTTCTTTTAAAAGTGACCTTTGTCTCTTCCACTTTCTCAGCCTTACCGAATCCCTCCACTCACTGACCAATCTCCAAATACATTTTAGCCAAAAGTAGCCAACTCATTCTTCATTACCAGGAACTTATAAGCTCTTTGAATCTCTTCCTGGTTCCATTTGATCATTCACTTTATGCTTATAAGAGGCTGACAGTTTATCTCTGGATTTCAATTTTCTATGCTTTGTCCCTTTTCATGCCTCCCCCAACACACTAATATCTCCTCCAGAAAGTCTTCCCCAACTCAGCAAAGTGGTAAGACTTACATCTCGTTCAATGCACTGGATCAGTTTATCGAAACAAATGAATTCATCCACTTGTCGTTGCTGTGTCAATGAGTTCCTTCCTAAGAGTCTCGGAGGTTGAAAGCATAGCCTCTTAGGTTCTATGACTGCTCACTTGAACCTCCAGTCCTCAGGCAACTGTTCACTTAACTATGCCACCTCATAACATCGCCCTGGAAATTCAAGTTAATTCTGAACTCCACCAAGAGGTCTCTTAAAAACATCTTTTAATTATTAGATATTACATACTAATGGTATCTAATACAACTTTGACTCTTCCCAGTTTGGGGTTGGCAAGTTCCAATATTTGAACAAATGTAGACCCAATACCAGGAAAGACTGACATGGTAATAGCACCAATGTTCCTGGCTGTCTTCCCTTTGACATACTGCTCCCCTCTCCCATCTCGCCCCTTATCCCATAATTAAAGGAACATCAGCTGGCTACACAGAGCAGATGAGGGAGAATAAAACTAACATCTGCCAAGGCTAGTCACCTGACCTAGTCCTCAAAACAACTCTATGAGATAGGTTCTAACATCCCATTTTTACAGTAAGATTAAATGGCACAGAAGTGACTTTAAAAACTCTGCTTGGTCCCAATGTTCCTTCTACTAGACCACACTACTCCTGACCACACAACAACAGATGTTTCTCTTTACTTAGAAACATTATTTAGGATTACAGATATTTAGTTACTCATTTCATTTTACTACTCTATAAGCTCCCTAGGCTAAAAACACAGAAGTAGAAAAAACAATGGGACTTTGCCATTAAAATATCAGACCAGAGTTCAAATCCCAGCTCTATTACTTACTTACTAGTTGTATTCCCTTAAGCCAGTAACTCATCCGCTGTTGTTAGGATTAAATGAGATGTCTATCGATTGCTAGTTCAGGGGGTGGCATGTGAAAATACTAGTTACACACTACTTATTAGCCATATAACTTTGAACACGTCACTTAAATGGGTAAGACTATTTTTTCATCTAGTCTTTCTTTTTCTTTGTTAAAAGAAAAAGAATGCACCCTAAAGCTCACACAGTGTGGTTGTTAGGATGAAATGATATATCATAAAAAAATTTTAAATAAAAAAAATAAATATGGAAAGAAATGAGATGTCAAAGTTCTCTGTAAACTTTAGCACTGAAAAACATTAAGGTATGATCCCCAGCAGAGCTTACCACAATGCCTTGCACTAGAGATTTCAGTAAATATTTGATAAATGCTACGTAAGAGAACTCTGTTCATGTTGGCATGCCCCTAAATCATCTTTTGAGAGCACTATCAACCCATGCGCAATCTATCCCCATAGAACAAGAAGGAAAGTCCATTCAAAGGACCCTAAGAATCACCCTAATTCACCCAACCATGAGGACCCTAGGGCTCTCATCCTCAAGCAATATTTAAGCTTTCCTTATGACAGAGTAAACTAATAAGCTATATGGCAAATAAACTGAACCTCACTTATGATTGGCTTTGGTGTGCTTTTGTACTTTTATTTAAATGCTTTTGTCTTAAAGTCAGAAAATTTGGAACATTTTAAGAGGTACAATGTTACTGTGGAGAAGATAAAAGTGATATTCAAAACTTCCGTTACTGTGGAGAAAATGATATTCAAAACTTCCACCTTCTGCAACTCCACTGTCCTCTTCCAAGCTTCCTCTTACATCCCACTGCTGTGGATAGACATAGGACTTCTTAGCCTGCAGTGAACTGCCAATAGAAAGCAAAACAGGCTCATCTCCAATTGCTAGTTCATACCTTCTCTAGTTGGGCTGGAATTTAGTATTTCCTTTAAAAGGCCTTCTCTTCCATTTCCTGCTGGGTCGGAGTAAACAAATATACAGTTTATATCAACAGGTTTAATTAAACAGAGCAATTACTACGTCAGCAAGATGAGCCAACATGTGATGGATCTTCCACTGGAAGTGGAAGTCACAGGTAGTGCTCCCCTAGACTATGAGCATCAACAGTTTTCTTTCAGGGGTCTCAGGGCACTTTAGTTCTCGTCTACCATGCTTAAACAATCCTCCATTTAAAAAACCCAAAATCCATACGCTTAAATGAGATGGACTTTTCATGTCATCTAAGCAACATGTTAACAACTGCCCAGATTAGCTGCTTTCACAGTAACACCCAGCAGACTCTTAACTAAATTCAAGAAGGAATCACAAAACAGCTTCAAAGGTTGGTTTCAAGGGGACGCCAATATAGCTTACTCATAAACATTTCTGCAAATGGGAGAATTAGAAAGAAATCCAAAAACAACCCTCCAACCTAATTTTAGTTTTTAGTTTCTGACTTTTCTTCCCAGCAAACTATTTTCAAGACTTGGCAAGCAGGTTACAATGTAAGGAAAGTAAAGATTTATGGTATTCCTCAATCTATTACTTCCTATTTCTTTCTTGAATGAGTAGCTAAACTATTAGTTTTCAACAATGCTAGTAAACAAAACTGACCAGCAGAAAGCAAAATCATAAAAGCAAAGATAATCCACAAACTCAATAACCACAAACTACCGAGTGGGGCAAAAATAAGTTTACAGTTATAAGTATGCGAAACAGAGTTTATTCTTGTATTATTATTTTTTAATCGGGAGATTGGACAGTTTATTTACTTATAAATAAGTAAGTAAATAAATATTTTTTAAGATTGATTTCAGAAAGGAAGGGAGAGGGAGAGATTGAAACATCAATGATGAGAATTATTGATCGGCTGCCTCTTGTACACCCTACATAGGGAAAGAGCCAAGAATCAAACTGTGGCCTCCTGGTTCATAGTTCAATGCTCAACCACTGAGCCATGCCAGCCAGGCATATTATTATTTATTAACCACTGTATTATTTTCCACAAGAACAACTGTAAAACTACTTCTGCTCCACCCTGTATTGATATTTGAGGTTAAATACACAAGAACTTCTTAACAATCCTACCCATTCTACTCCAAGCCCTCTTAGATAATTGGTGGCACTTATAGGTCACAGAGCAGAAAATAGTATCTTGTAAATGTGAAAAAATCATCTCTCACGTAATCTTTCCTCTACTAATCACTAAAGCTCCATTTATTTAGTGACAGACTTCATATACCATATAAATAAATACTCAAGAATAATTTAGAGCCTATTTCTCTCAACATACTAGGAATAAACTATTTCACTTGAATCTTTTAAAATCTCTTCTGCTAATAGAAAAACACCCAAAGAGTTCCTATACTCTAGTAGGAGGTACCTCACTAAGCCAGGGTTTCAAAAATTGTTTTAAGAATGGGATGTTATATATACAACAACCTTTAATATGAAACCTATGACCCTTTCGAATCTGTCATCAACCATCACTAAAAAACATGTGGTACTTCCCTGGAATTTGGAAAGGGAGCTCTGTTATCTGCGGTAACTACATTCTGCTAGCCTCAGTTACCCTCTATTGTTTCAACTGCCCAAGTATTCCCTTGCTTTGTTCAATTCTTAGCAAACACATCATATTCCCAAGACAGCCAAGAGAACATACATTATTGCAAGACTCCTCTAGAGGGAAAAACTTCCACCACACCAATTCAAGAGACTTAAGGCAGCTGCTACTAAAATCAAAAGCCTAACTTATTCAACAAATATTTATTAAACACCTACTCTGTGCAAGGCTCTGTATATTCAGTGATGAACAAAACAGGTATAGTTCCCATCCTGACAAAAGAAAGTTTGGTGAGATAGAAAAGTAAACAAATGGTATACAATTATAATTACAAAAAGGCTATGAATAGGCTAGCATTAGTCTCAGTGTAAAACAAAAGCAATCCCCTTTACTCTAAGAAATGTCACAGGTTGGACTCTAAAGAATATGTCACCTTAGCCTGAAGGATAAGGTACTCTAGGAGAGAATAATGGGAGCAAATGACTTGAGCCTGAGTAACCAAAGACTTCCTAAAAGAGGTGCCATGTTAGTCCTGATGGATAAAGCTCCAGTTAGAGGTGTAGGGGACAGCAAAGGCTACAAGTCTGGGGAGAATATTATTAACTAACATGAACTTTGATAGAATTGAAGAGTCAAAAAGTAATTTGGGGGTTCCCAGAGATCAATTTGTAATTCTAAAATTAAAATATCCTAAACCTCTAATTTTGTTTAGACCTCAAAATTCAAACATAAAGACCAAAATGAAGCTCTAAAGCAGTGGTTTTCAAATTTTTATAGATCATGAATTCCTGAGGACCTGAAGAATATTCATATCTTCACCCAGGACAAACATATATATTCATGTGTGCCCACATATGCAATTTCAGGTTGCACAGGCCACACCCCACCAATTCCAGAAGTTCACTCACAGACTCCCGAGTTGTTGTTTTTAAAGCCCTCTTTCACAAAGACTAAAGCAAGCTCTCAACTCTTATTTCTCTATTTGGGCATTAAACATTTTTTAAAGTCTTCTGAAGACATCTAGGAATAAAACTGAACGTATTTTTTAAAAGGGTATCAGAACATGCAACTGTAAGTCAATGACAAAATAAAAAACAATGGACAATGTATATATTTCCAAGAGTCAATGAGACTCAATTTTCTCACCGTTTTGGAGAACCAGAACTAAGGTTAGTCCTTACCTTACTAACATTGAGTGAAGCTAGGGGAGGTGGGGTTTCTGTTCGGTCATTAATTATTTCCACTTCTGAAACATACTGTAAGTTTATGAGCAAGATGTCTGCATGGTTGGGCTTTCCACTGGAAGAGGGACATTCTGGTGAAAAAATAAAGTTAAGGAAAACAGGGGCAAGCAGAGCACTGACAACATACCAAAGGGAGCATAAACAGCTCAGTTCTCACAAGGCCCATGTAAACAGTGTGCCTCAAGCAAGAGCGGGAGCCTTACAAGAATCACAACTCTCCTTGGGAAATCTCTGCCCTCCACCTTCCTCCCGTCTACCTCATAAGATCACAAGCTTTTCGAAACCATAAACAACTCAAAACTGGAAGCCTCAAAAGGATTTCTGTCACCTTTTGGCTACCAGTTTTATGGAGACGCATAATGCAGTTTTAATGCCCATTTATACTGTTTGTTTTGAACCAAATGAACCAGGAGAGGCAGTGCTTTCTGCTCTTGGTGTAATACTGCTTTTATCTGTACATACTCTTACCACTTTTCAGATTTGACATTTCTCATTTTGCAGAAGAGAAAAATATAGCATTAGAAATGAAGCCGATTCAAGGTGACACAGCAAGTTAAACCATTCATTCATTCATTCATTCTCCAACCATTTATTAAAAGCACTCTATGCCAATTAAAAGCAGAGTAATTCCTCATTCCCAAACACTTCCAACTAAACCACTAATGTAAAAAGTAAAAAGGTCTTATCTGGTTCAGATATGAATTCTTGTATTTAAACAAACAAACAAAACAAAAAATGTCCTGGCCAGATAGCTCATTTGGTTGGAGCCTCAACTGGATACACAAAGGTTGCTGGTTCAATCCCCAATTAGGACACATACAAGAATCAGCCTATGGCCGAAACCGGTTTGGCTCAGTGGATAGAGCATCAGCCTGTGGACTGAAAGGTCCCAGGTTTGATTCTGGTCAAGGGCACGTACCTTGGTTGCGGGCACATCCCCAGTAGGGGGTGTGCAAGAGGCAGCTGATCGATGAATCTCTCTCATCCATGTTTTTTTCTTTTTTTTAAAAAAAAATATTTTATTGACTTTACATAGAGAGGAATTGAGAGGGAGAGAGAGTTAGAAACATTGATGAGAAACATCGACCAGCTGCCTCTTGCACACCCCCCACTGGGGATGTGCCCGCAACCAAGGTACGTGCCCTTGACCAGAATCAAACCTGGGACCTTTCAGTCCCCAGGCCGACACTCTATTCACTGAGTCAAACCGGTATTGGCTCTCATCGATGTTTCTAACTCTCTATCCCTCTCTCTTCCTCTCTGTAAAAAATCAATAAAATAGCCGAAGCCTGAAGAGCGTCAGTTTGCAGACTGAAAGGTCCCGGGTTCAATTGCGGTCAAGGGTATGTACGTTGGTTGCGGGCACATCCCCAGCAGGGAGTGTGCAGGAGGCAGCTGGTCGATGTTTCTCTCTCGACATTTCTAGCTCTCTATCTCTCTCCCTTCCTCTCTGTAAAAAAAATCAATAAAATATATTAAAAAAGTCAGCCAATGAATGCATCAATAAGTGGAACAACAAATCGATGTCTCTCTCCCCCACCCCTCCTCTCCTCTCTCCCTCTAAAATCAGTAACAAATCTTTTTTTAAATGCAACTATTTTTGCTGTATTAGTGTCAGAGGCCATCTTCCTAAACTAGAAATCTATGACTAGTGGTAAACTAATTAAAATACCGGCCACTCAAATGCAGCAGACTCAGTAGAAAACTTCCTTTTGAAAGATGCTAGTGTAAAGGATTACTCCTCAATAAAAATAAAAAATAAAAATCCAAATAAACCCATCTGTGGCTCAAATACAAAAGGATGGCACGCCGAAATCGGTTTGGCTCAGTGGATAGAGCGTCGGCCTGCAGACTGAGAGGTCCCAGGTTCGAATCTGGTCAAGGGCATGTACATTGGTTGTGGGCACATCCCCACTAGGGGGTGTGCAGGAGGCAGCTGGTCAATGTTCCTCTCTCATTGATGTTTCTCTCTATCCCTCTCCCTTCCTCTCTGAAAGAAATCAATAAAATATATTAAAAAAAAAAAAAAAAAAAGGTGGCACATTTATTACAACCAGGAAGCATTTTGTTTCCAAGACTGCATTTCCTGGAGTAATTCAGAAATCATTTCCACCCCAAGAACGCAGACCACCTTGTCCATTCTGTTTACTACTGCTCCTTTCAAAAGAAGAGAGGCGATTTCTTGGAAAAGCCCGTACTCCATGTGTGATCGACTGAGCAAAAGAGCACAACTTACTCTTTCACCTGTAACCCACACATCCCTACCTAAGTCCCTGAAAAACGTGTCCCTCTATCTGGACCACTTTTCCAATGCAAACATCCCCCAAACAGCAATTTTCAAATGACCGAGAAACCTAAAATTCAGCACCCCCCTCTCCCTACCGTGACACCACGCGCGCACACACACAAACCAGCAAAGCAAGCCCCTAGCCCCAATTTAGATCCAAACTCTGCCTTAAGGTTACTTTACCTCCAAACAGGTGAGGCCCATTGAGTCAACACCCCACCGCCTTTCCTTGGACCAAACCCATCAGCAGACACCCCTTCCTAAACTCCATCGTCTTCCCTTGTCCTACAGCAGTTCCTTACTCTACACCCCCCTCCCCACTTGATTTTATCAGCCCTCCTTCCATCCGGGAACCCCCTCCCGCGACAAGCCCCCTCCCACGACCACCTCCTCTCCCGATCACTGTGTCCCCTCTCCCAGAGCATCCCCACCGAAAAGCCATCCGCGTGTCAAGCCCCCCCTCCACCCACCGACCCTCGCACGGGGCCCAGCTCCCACACGGGGTGGGAGACGAGAGTCCCCAAAGAGGACCCAGGGAGCCCCGAGAGGGGGAGGGGAGCGCCGGGCCGTGCGCATGCGCTACGGGCTCCGCCGTGGCCGGTCGCCCCTAGGCCCGGCGAGGGCCCCAGCCTCCGCCGTCGTCCCCCACCCCCCACCGCCACCCCACACACACACGCCGGCCCGGCCTCGGGCTCCGCGCAGGGAAGGATACTTAGAGCCAGCATTTTGGACTGGTAGTCGAAAGCTACCACCTCGCCCTGCAGCCGCTGCTCCTGGCATGTCCGGCACGACACCTGGCTCCCAACACTGAAGTACTCGCCCGGAGGAGCCGCCATCTTGGGAGAGCAGCCGCGGCCGGCGGCGGCGGCGGCGGCAGCAGCGGCGAAAGCCGGGCGCCCAGTGAGCGCCGCGACGCGACGCGCGGAACGTGCTGACGTCACACGCCGGGGCGTGGCCTGGCGCTGGGTGGGGCGGGAGCCTAGGTGGGAGAGGAAGGAAGAAATAAGAGAGACTTGAGTAATTGTGTACAGCGGTGGTACAATGGTGGCTGGGTCCGTTTTATTTTAATTTTTGTTTTAAAAGCAACTTTTTTTTCTGGGTCCGTTTTAGGCGTTAAAGATGCATGACCTACGTGGAATGAAAAGGGGAAGGAGGAGGGAACTGCAGTCTTCCTTACAGGTACACCTCGACCCAAGAGTTCGATGAATGAACTCTGTATTTTACACGTGAGGAATCCGAGGCCCCAACGACTCCCCAGGAAACTTGCCCAAATGTTTACAGTATACCAAGTTACAAAGTGGTAGTGTCAAGAAGAGTCGCTATGGAATTAGCTAAACCGGAATCAAAATCCTAGGTCTGTCACTTGCTAAATTACATGACCTTCAGCAAATTAATTGATCCTACTTTTTTTAATCTTCACTGGAGGATATTTTTCCCATTGCCTTTTAGAGAGAGTGGAAGGAAGGGACAAAGGAGAGAAGAGAGAGGGAGAGAGAGAGAGAGAGAAACAGAAAGACACATCATTGAGAGAGAGACGTGGATTGGTTGCCTCCCTTATACGCCCGACGAGGTACGTGCCCTTGGTCTGGAATGGAACCTGAGACCCTTTGAATGTGTGAGCTAATGCTCTAACCACTGAACACCCCGGCCAGGGCTCCCACAACTTTTTAATGCATGAAACTAATGTCTTTCCAAGAAGAACCCAGGTTTGCACTCGCGTTTTCACTCATTAGAAAACTCTCCAAGAACACAGTTGCTTGATGAAGAAAGGAACTGAGGAGTCACTTCAACAGACTCACTCTCTTGTGCCTCTATATACCTACAATAGCTGAGATTTCTGTTTTCTCTATGTGTTCCTTCAAAAGATTGTTCCAAATTCTGTCGTGTGTGTGTGTGTGTGTGTGTGTCCCCTCTTCTTCCAACATGGTTTTGGAAAGCAAGAGGATTCAAGGAGGGAGGGCGGGCAAGACAAACTTAGAACTGGAATTATGACTTAGGACTGTGTAAGAATTCACAAGTCTTTAGGAAAAACTCCCCAAAATCAAAAGGCTTATCTGTCAGCCACCACAGCCATACATAGTGAATTAACTCGGACCCGAGCGCATCAGGCTTGCGGAGGAAGTCACGGACTGAATAGCGGTGTGTGTAAATGTAAGGTCCCACTTCCACGCCTCGGGAATATGCGTGGCTCCCCGGAGGAGAAGAGGGTGTGCGTAGCCCTCTCTTCAAGAGGTCTCAGAATTATCTTTGGAGGGTAGGGGTCCTGGGGAAGGGAGGTCCGATCTGGAAGGAACCTGGCCCTGGAGATTACACATCCCTCTTCGCAGCAGCAAAGCAAAACCCTGAGCACGCCGGTTAGTCCATCCCTCCACCCAGAGCAGCAGCGACAGCCACCTCTGCTCCCGAAACCCACGTGCGGACAGCGGCGGCCGCCACGTGGGGCTCCGCGGAAACGCCTTCGCGGAGGTTTGTCCCCCGCGCCGCCCCGTAGAAAGGAGAGCGGCAGGAGGAAGTGCTCCAGGAAAGGGCCGGGCTCCCGGGAGCCTGGAACGGTCGAGGGCGGGGCGGTGGGCGGAGGCGGGGCTTGTGCCGGCGTCGGGCGAAGAGGGCGGGGCCTGGGTCTCCCAGGGTGGGCTTGGGACGGCGGTTGGTCGGCGCTTCCCAGCCGGGGATTCCTCAGCTTCTGCGCCAGAGCCAACCCCGGGCCCGGCCGGCTCCCAGGTCGCCATGGAGTCCGTGCTGACCGCTGGCATCGCGATGGCGGAGGCGCTGCAGAACCAGCTGCCCTGGCTGGAGCCAGTGTGGCTCTGGGTTACGTTTCTGGGCGATCCCAAGAGCCTCTTCCTGTTCTACTTCCCCGCGGCCTACTATGCCTCTCGCCGCGTGGGCATCGCAGTGCTCTGGATCTGCCTCATCACCGAGTGGCTCAACCTGGTCTTCAAGTGGTGAGCGGCCAAGCCCCCGGCGACCTGCTCGCCCGCCCCCACGGGCCCTGAGTCCGGCGCGAGCCCCAGAGGCCCCCGCCTCCCGCCCTCACCGGTGAACTCCGTGGCCTTAAAACCTCCCATCTTGGCTTCAGACCTCCGAATCCCCAACGTACTCATTAGGGTAGACCAGTGTTTCTCAAAAGACCCTTATCAGAAACCCCCCCTGAAGGCAAGGTTTAAAAATGCAAATACCCCATCCCACCGAAGACGTGCTGGTTTAGAAACCAGTGCCAGGGCTGGGAATCCGTATTTTAACAAATATCTGTGCTGATTTAAGGAGCCTCTAGTCCTGCTTCTCAACTCACTTTCATTCATCCAGTCGCTCATTCGTTTGACATCGCTTTTTAAGAAGCATGCTTTGAGACAGGCTTCGCATGGTCTGCTGAGGTCAGAGAGGCTTGCCAATGAAGGTGTAGTCCCCAGACCACGACCACAGCATAGGGAGCACTTGGAAACTTGATAGAAATGTAGAACCTCAGGCCTGGGGCCAGAGCTACTGTATCCGAATCTGCATTTTAACAAGGACCCCCGTTGATTCCTGTGTACAGTGAAGTCTGAAAAGCCCTGAAATCAAGCACTGCCATTCAGGGAGCACTTTCTCTGCTTTTTCCATTCATTCACTAGCAGGCTCTTCACACAGACTTACATGCCAGGAATCCCAGGCAAGTGGGTGGGGCTTACCTCTGTGCCACCTGTTCTATCCTTTGTGTCGGAAGGTAGTTATACTTTTTACTGGGCGAGTAGCTGCATCTCCCTTCACCTCAGTCCCTGTTGCCAGATTCCCAGCCTGGCAGAGGGAAGGGAGGCTTATAGGAGACACTGGGCTGGGCTGGAATGTCTGGCTGAATAACGGAATTGGAGTTACCTTCCCTTGTAACTTCTCTGCAAGGCTTTCTTTCACCCCTTCTGTAAACGGAAAAGCCGTGTCTAAAACTTTTCCTCTAACCCAGTGGTCGGCAAACTCATTAGTCAACAGAGCCAAATATCAACAGGACAAAGGTTGAAATTTCTTTTGAGAGCCCAATTTTTTCAACTTAAACTTCCTCTAATGCCACTTCTTCAAAAATAGACTCGCCCAGGCCGTGGTATTTTGTGAAAGAGCCACACGCAAGGGGCCAAAGAGTTGCATGTGCCTCTCGAGCCGCAGTTTGCTGACAACGGTTCTAACCTAATTGCCCTTTGCTTCGTGTTCTCTCCTCTTCAGAGTCTGTATAAGCATCCCTCTCTAGTTCTGTTCCCCTAAGAATCAGACCACCTCCTTAGGTGGACACTCCCCCCCAACTTGACAAAACCCCCATTCATTTGCTAAGTGCGTATTGAGCACCTGGTTGGTGTGAGAACAAGGCTACAGCCCCTTCTGTGCTTCCCTCCCCAGCTCTTGATTTTCTGCCAGCCTCTCCTCTGCTCAACCACCTCTCCTCTTTCTGGCCACAGCAACCTTCTCACTGGGTGATTTCACAGGGTCAGGCCAAGCATCTGCTAGGCCGGGGGATTTTGAATAGTTTGTTTTCCTTATTCTTCTTCAGCCTCCTCTGCCAATTCCCCACTCCCATTTCCAGACATAAGAAACTTACCTAAGTAATTCAGGGGGAGGTAATTCAGGTTGGAATTTGGGGAATGGAGAGAGGGGGGAAGCAGGAGGCTCTGGGAGGAGCCCAGTGAGAGGCCCTGGGATCACCATGGATGAGAAGAGCAGAGCTGGTCCAGAGTGGGCGGGGTCAGAGTAGGACTTCTGAGCATCTCAGGGCATACCCCCGCCCCCACAATCTCTTACCTCCTTATCACTTTAAAAACTATATATGTTCTGCCCTAACCGATTTGGCTCAGTGGATAGAGCATCGGACTGTGGACTGAAAGGTACCAGGTTCAATTCCAGTCAAGGGCATGTACCTTGGTTGCAGGCACATCCCCAATGGGGGTGTGCAAGAGGCAGCTGAATCGATGTTTCTCTCTCATTGATGTTTCTAACTCTCCACCCCTCTCCTCTCTCTGTAAAAAAAAAAATCAATAAAATATACTTAAAAATAAATAAATAAATAAATAAATAAATGTTTTAATGGTGTTAGGGGGAGAGGGAGATAGAAACATCAATGCTGAGAGAGAATCATTGATCGGCTGCCTCCTACAGGCCCCACACTGGGGATTGAGCCCACAACCCGGGTATGTGCCCTGACCAGGAATCGAATCCTGATCTCCTGGTTCATAGGTTGATGCTCAACCACTGAGCCATGTTAGCCAGGCTCCTTATCACTTTTTTAAAATAGTGTGCTTTCTTCTGTTCCAAGGTAAAAATCCATGGCAAAGTAATAGCACAGAATAGGAATCCCTTTATTTTCTTAAAAAAAAAAAAAAAAAATATATATATATATATATGTATATGTATATATATATGTATATGTATATATATATCGATTTCAGAGAGGAAGGGAGAGGGAGAGCAAGATAGAAACATCAATGATGAAAGAGAATCATTGATCAGCTGCCTCTACACACTCCTTACTGGGGATCAAGCCCACAAACCAGGCATGTACCCTTTGCCAGAATCAAACCTGGGACCCTTCAGTCAGCAGGCTGACACTCTATCCACTGAGCAAACCAGCTAGGCCTGGACTCTGGTTCTGACTCTTACCTCTAGAGTACCCCAGGTGTTCTGCCCCTCTCTTGTCCCCCTGGCTCTGTGTGAGCACAGTATCACCTTGCATCTGTTCTCTTCTAGGCTCCTTTTCGGAGAAAGGCCATTTTGGTGGGTCCATGAGTCTGGGTACTACCGCCATGCTCCAGTCCAGGTCCACCAGTTCCCCTCTTCTTGTGAAACTGGTCCAGGTACGAAGCCTCATACCTCCCTTCTCCTGTGTAGTTAGGATTTGGGGGAGTGTTTCAGAGTCCTTTTCAGCCAGGGTGGCCCAACCAAGAGGCCCACCTCACAGTTACACTGGGCCAGAGAATGAGAAGCTCTAGGAGGGCCACGATGAATTGTAGGAGGAGAGCACCTGTGCCAGTGCTCACCTTGTTTAGAGTAGAGCCAAGCCTGAGAGCAGTGGCCTCAGGGAGGGGAGAAGGAAGCCACAGGGTGGAGGAAGCTATGGGCTGTGCTGGGGAAAGGTTCTCTTCTCAGCCACGGGGAGGTGGCTCAGTTGAGCTATCACCAGGAGCACGTGGGTTCCACGCCCGTCCTCTCATCACAAGCTTCTTTCCCCCACAGGCAGCCCCTCTGGACACTGCATGATCACAGGAGCAGCCCTCTGGCCCCTAATGACAGCCATCTCTTCCGAGATGGCCGCTCGGGTCCACAGGTACACCGGGGCATTGCCCACCAGCAACAGGGCAGCTTGGGAGCTGGAGTTCTGGGGACCCTGGGCATTTGTGCTGTGGAAAACTGAACTGTATCCAGACGTCCCCTAGCCCCGTGGTCAGCAAACTGCGGCTCGCAAGCCACATGCAGCTCTCTGGCCCCTTGAGTGTGGCTCTTCCTCAAAATACCACGGCCTGGAAGAGTCTATTTTGAAGAAGTGGCATTAGAAGAAGTTTAAGTTTAGCCGAAACTGGTTTGGCTCAGTGGATAGAGCGTCAGCCTGTGGACTGGAAGGTTCCAGGTTTGATTCCAGTCAAGGGCATGTACCTTGGTTGCGGGCACATCCCCAGTGGGGGGGGGTGCAAGAGGCAGCTGATCGATGATTCTCTCTCATCGATGTTTCTAACTCTCTGTCTCCCCTCCTCTCTGTAAAAAAATCAATAAAATATATTTTTAAAAAAGAAGAAGTTAAGTTTAAAAAATTTGGCTCTCAAAAGAAATTTCAATCGTTGTACTGTTCATATTTGGCTCTGTTGACGGAGTTTGCCGACCACTGGCCTAGACCATTTGCCTCTCTTTTTTCTAGCCGCTGGGTGAGGGTGATGCCGATCCTGGCTTATTGCACCTTCCTACTGGCCATCGGTCTGTCCCGAATCTTCCTCTTGGCACATTTCCCTCACCAGGTGCTGGCCGGCCTGATAACTGGTGAGCAACTAGAACAGGATGGACCCGGAGGGTGTTGTCGGCAGTGGGAAGACCAGCCTATTTTGCCAAACTGCATTGTAGCTCAGGGTGGGTCATGTCCCCAAACTCCTTGAAGCTGCTGTCACCCTACTCCTCCAGGTGCTGCCCTGGGCTGGCTGATGACCCCCCGGGTGCCTGCACAGCGGGAGCTAAGCTTCTACGGGTTGACCTCTCTGGCCCTCTTGCTGGGAGCCAGCCTCATCTATTGGATCCTCTTTTCACTGGGCCTGGATCTTTCATGGTAAGTTCTGCTTTAAAGCTTGGGCAGGCTGGGCCTGTCCTGCCTAACCTGTACCTAGCCTGGTGGGTCTCTGGTTCACTATATTAAAGGACACTACCTGTTCACAAACAGAGATTGTCCTGGGGTCTCAGAAGAACATGGGGGTAGGCCCCAATGGGGATGAGAGCCATTGGCTCTCTAGGTTCTAGGGATCTCTCTCCTGGCAAAGACTTTTCCTCCCAACAGGTCCATCAGCCTAGCCACGAAGTGGTGTGAGCGGCCTGAGTGGCTGCACTTGGACAGCCGGCCCTTTGCCTCTCTGAGCCGCGACTCAGGGGCCGTCCTGGGTCTGGGCATCGCCCTCCACTCCCCCTGCTATGCCCCAGTACGGCGAGCACACCTGAGCAAGGGACAGAAGATCGCCTGCCTCGTGTTGGCCATGGGGCTGCTGGGCCCCATGAATTGGCTGGGCTACCCACCTCAGATCAGCCTTTTCTACATCTTCAATTTCCTCAAATTCACCCTCTGGCCATGCTTGGTCCTGGCCCTCGTGCCCTGGGTAGTGCTCACATTCAGTGCCCAGGAAGCACCACTCATCCGCTCTTCCTAACTTCAGCTGCCTCCACTCCAACAAAGCCAACGAACGCTCCATGACCTCCACACTCCAGGAGGCAGCCCCAACCTCTTTCAGCCCCCCCAAAGGCCCTACGCATCTTGAATTTCCCACTTCTCCCACCAACAGGCTTAGCTCCAAAGAAGGGCCCTCCCTTTCCCAGAAAGGCTGGCCCTCCTCCTGCCCTCCTTTCCAAGCCCCCCAAAAGCGAAGACCAGTGGGTTCCTGCAGCACTGTGAGGGGCTCAATAAAGCCCTTAAACACTCTGGACTCTCGTACCTGTGTACATATGCACTGAACGTGTCCGTGTGCACACGCGTGGATCCTGCCTGGGCCGCCTGTTCTCCACCCGCCTCCAGCCCTGTTTCCACAGAGGCAGAGGCAGAAGGAGAGGGGAGGCTGTAAATATTCAGCTGAGACCTTCAGCCCTGAGCACCATCCCCCCTCGGCCATCCGAGAGGTCTTTTGTAGTGCTGTGGCTACCTTCAGTGAAACCTTGTCTCTAACCTACTGGACAGAGATGCACCCAGCCTCCTGTTTCCAGTCCAGGAGCTGGAGAGAAGAGCAGTTTATGTGGCCAAGAGGGGAAATAAGAACCTCTCTTCCATTTGGGAGCCCAGAGGACAGAGACACTGGCTCCAGAAGGCACTGCCAGAAACAAATTTATTTATACAAGGACACACCATGTTATGGGTTACAAAATGCTTAACTGAAAACCATATCCGGGAGACAAAGCAAGGAGTGGGTTTACATGAGAACCAGACCAGCCACAGGAAGTTGGAAGGTAAGGGGTCCAGAGCTGGGGCTCAGCACGGGGAGGCCTGACACTGAGCCCAGGCCCACCCCCATCCCCCAGGAGGGTCTAGGACATACTAACAACATGTAAGACAAGCGCACAATGAGCTGATGGTGGTGGGACTCCTGCCCCTCCCCTGGCTCCTTACCCTGCTCAGGCCCCAGCAGGGGAATATGTAAACAGATGGTGGGGTCCCAGGATGGGAAGAAAACAAGTACACGTGGTATTGGGAAGGAGAGAGGAAGACTCAGTCCCCTGAGAGCCACGTCCTATCTTTGGTTTCCTACAGGCTGGACAGCATCCCCAAGAAGCCTGTGGGCCCCCAGCCCCAGTATTGGGACTGGGCTGGGCTTCTGGGGAAGAGAAAGGCGGCACCCCCTCCTGATCTTAGCTTCGTTGGGCTTGTGGCCAGCAAAGGAAGCCCAAGAGGAATGGAAGCTCCAGCTGAGGGCAGACTTCTGTTTCTGGGTTCTGGCCCCAACCCTTCTAGAGCCCCCATTCTCACCATCCCAGACTTCAAAAGGTCCCAGGAGAGCCAGGGCTGGTTTAGCTCAGTGGCTAGAGCGTCTGCCTGCGGACTGAGGGGTCCCAGGTTCGATTCCGGTCAAGGGCATGTACCTCATTCCCAGTGGGGTGTGTGCAGGAGGCAGCTGTTGTTTCTCTCTCATCGATGTTTCTAACTCTATCACTCTCCCTTCCTCTCTGTAAAATATCAATAAAATATATATATTATAAAAGGTCCCAGGAGAGAGGGGGCCACTCTGCTTGCAGCATGCCAGATGACTAGGGAAATCGTCCTGAACTCAAGGGCACTTTCACCAGCTTGCAGCGCCCCCTGCAGGGACCATTTTCTCCTTCCTCTCCCTCTGTGTCAGCAGAGGCAGGAAGGCCAACAGAGTACGTTGAAAAGCAGGCTTGGAGCTGAGGCTCCTCCAGGCCCCTCATAACCCAGGAGTCCAGCCCCATCCCTCCCACCCACCCGAGCCCCTGAAAGGGAAACAGCCCCACAGGAATGGAAAGGGAGACAGCCTGCCCCAGACTTCAGGCCCATGTCCCCGGGCAAAAGCCTTCCCTTGGTGCTGAGGCCAGGAGGAAGGCGGAGGAGGAAAGTCTGCAGAGATGGTGAGACAACAGAGTGGGGAAAAAGGTGGGGTTGGGCAGGAGCCACCTCCCCTCCCCTCTACATCCTGATGGTAGAGACCCTTCAGGATCTCCCAACGCCAGAGAGGGGGAGGGTGAAATTAAGGCATTTCCCCCAAGTCAGCTGAAACCAAGGCACCGAACTTCCTGTTCCGTCTTCACTCAGGGAGACTCCAGAAACAAAAGGTACTACCTGGCCCCCTACCCACCTTGAGCTGGCCCAGGCTCCAAGGGGGAAAAGGATAGAATTTGGGAAGGTGGGTGTGAGATACAATATGGAGAGAGGCTGCACAAGGTAGGCCCATATCCTACAGAGGAAGCCAACTTTTCGAGCTGAGATGTGGGCCACGGGAAGGGGCCTGAGACAGCTTAGAGGAGCAGGAGGCGAGGCTGAGAGACCCACACGGCACACGTCGTTGAATGTGTGACTTTTTGTTTTTAATAGAAAAAATAAACAAAATCACAATGATGAAGCCCAGAGGACGGGGCCGGGGCGTCATAGGGCAGGCTCCTGCTCCATAGGCTCCTCCGCGGGCCTGTGGGGACAAGCACAGGGAGGGGCAGTGAGCGGGGTCCTCGGCGTAGGCCAGGGCAGAGGGCTGGGAGGAGCCTCACCTGGGGCTGTGCTCCCTGGCTGCAGCGGCCTGGGCCTGCTCGGCCCCCACGGACAGCAAGGCCATGGCGCTCACAGTCTCGGCCTCCTCCGTCTCACCTGCCTGGGCCTCCCGCAGGGAACGACCCAGACCAGCAGCAAACCTCTGCACACAACTCCAGTGTTTGCCTGTGGATGAGAGACACGCAGGAGATCAGGGAGGGCAAAACCACCATATGAACCCGTTCATCCCCAGCCCTGGCACACCCCCACGCTCCGCCCCTCTGGTAAGGCCTGAGCCCCTCCGCCTGTCCCCACATACTCTGGATCTCGATGACTTTCTCTAGCGTGGCCACTGCGTTGATGTTGGGCTTTTGCTGTAAGACTGTCTCATCCAAGGGCTGTAGCTGGCAGCAGAAGGAAGAGAAGGCTTAGGGTGGGGAATGGGTGGTGGTGCCTGACATTCTAACCTCCCCATTCAGCCTCAGACATCTCTCATGATAGGAGGAACTCCTACTCAGAAAGCTCTCCTGGCCTCCAGCTGTCCGGAGGACCCAGGAAAACCTTCCCAAGGGCCCTCGGTACTGCTTGACCCAGGAAAGGGCCTTCCTCCCGGCCTCTCAGACCCTGGCCTACTGGCTTACATCCCTTCACCCCTCACCTCCACGCTGAGCAGAGCGGAGACACAGGCCTCAGAAGCATCACAGATGGCGGTCAAGTCGTGGCCTCCCTCCAGGGCCAGCACCACCCGGCCCCCTGCCAACGTCATCAGCTGCCTGGTCAAGTGGCCAAAACCTTTAGGAATGAGCAATGAGAGATGGTAAAAAACAAACAAACAAACAAACAAAAAAAACAATTCAAGAGAAGATAAGAAAGGAGAGAAATAGAAACAAGAAGTGGGACAAATAGCACAAAATAAGATGGTAGACTTCAACTCAAACGTGTGTGTATATACCCATAATAAAATTTAATGTCAATGGACAAAATGCTCCATTAAAGACAAAACATAACAGATAAGCTTTAAAAACGCAATTAGATGTCTTTTAAAGAATACTGCTGATACAGGATGAATCAACAAGCTCCATGCCCAGCCTCCGGGAGGAGACACACCCTCTGCTATTCCCCCACCTCCCTCCTTGTTTGCCTCTCAAGGCCAGGATTGGCAGAGGGAGACTAGGGGGCGCTGCCAGGATTATTGCAAGTCTTGGACCTGCCCCAGCTCTCCTCCCAACTGTGCAGCATCAGTCTAACTGCTCCACACCCCCACTGACCCCTCCTTACTGTCCCACAGCCTCCCTTAATCCCCCAGCAGGCTCACATCTGGCCGTGACAGAGTAGCCACCCAGCGGAGACAGGTGTCCTTCCACAGCATCAAACCCGGCGGAGACTAGGACCATGTCAGGTGAGAACTCGTGGGCAATGGGCATCACCACTGTCCTGCAAAGGGAGGGCCCAAGCTGACCCTGGCAGGAGGCTGAGCCAGGCCTCGCCCCACTGAGCCCCCCGAGACAACCCCCTCCACCTACACCAAACTGAGTGTCTCTGCCCTCCCACGGCAGGGCCCGGGGGCTCCCACCCCTCCCTTGGCCCTTCTCAGTCTTCACCTGAAGGCTGTTAGGTATTCCACGTCTCCGATGGGGGGGTCCACACCTCCCGTCCATGCCACGTTCACATTGTACCCCACGCCCGGCCCTCCGCCAACCTGGCAGCACGGTGGGGGAGGGGTTATTCTCACTGCCTAGGGATCCCAGAAGTTGCCCCCACCCTCAGCCCTACCTCCAGCCCTCACTCCACTGACCTCTGCTCTGCATGGAAGGGCAGTTGGCCGGTGTGGTCCTCCCACTAGGAGCCCAGACTCCCCAGGTACCAGCACCACCAAGGGCCTCCAGGACTCCCTGCCAAGTCCCGTTCTGCTACCTCCCTAAGGGGCCCCATATTTGCACCCAGGAGCTGTACCTCTTCAGGAGCCCCGGAGCCCGGGAAGAAGTTCCCATTGTCGTAGCGGTGCAGGGATATGTAGAGCACGGAGGGGTCATTGTAGAATGCTTGCTGGGTGCCGTTGCCATGGTGAATGTCCTAGTGGAGAGAAGTGAGAGCATCAGGAAAATGGCCCAGGCTCTCGCCCACAGGTAAAACAATTCCACTTGTCACCCCCCACCCCCAATATGGTGAGTACAGCCCACCACGAGCTACAGGGCATCTGTGTCCTGTTCACACCAGTATCACCCTATGCTTCTCTAGCCAGGAACTGTACAGGGCAGATGCAAAGCCACGAAGCGAATGTGGCTACTGTCCCCAGGGCCCATTCTAGACAGCAGTGTGGAGGGCAGTGTTAAGGCTAGTAAGCCTTAGGGAACAAATAGATATAGCCAACCGGCATGGCTCAGTGGTTGAGCATCGACCTGTGAACCAGGTCACGGTCTGATTCCCGGTCAGGGCACATGCCGGGGTTGCAGGCTGGATCCCCAG